GTTTTATTTATACAGGAGTGACTGTACGCACTGACATGTCGCGACTGCTGGAATGATCGTTATCGAAATTATTTTGAAGGTCTGTAAGATAAATAATTTAATAAAAGTTAAATAAAATTAACATTGTTCATGGAACCATAAAAAAAAGTCAAGGTCTGATGAAACCTGCCAGACGGACATGAACACATTACAATCATTGAAACCAACCAAAAAATAATTAACATCTACCAATTAATCAAGAAAATAAGCTCAAGGTCACTTAAATAGTCATGTGCGCAAAATATAGTTGACATATTACTTATGGTATTAGAGATACGGACTTGAACACGAAATGTTAACCTTGATCATAGATATCAACCATTATCAGCTATTCATTTTGTTAGGAAATCGCTGAACCATGAAAATGAGGTCAAGGCAATGGACATATGACAGATAGAAAAATCGTTAAATAAAAGACCTGTGTGCGAGGTATGTTACAGTCAGGCTTTCTAACTTCAGACATATGAAGCTTCATACACATAGTTCAAGCCGCCACGAATTTGCATCCCTTGGTCTCGCATTCCGACAATTCCAAAATATCAATGTGAATTTTTAGAATAAACATGATAATCCTACTCACATACATCCAATTTCGCGGGTGTCCCTGCTTTCTCATTTCTTATAAAATTTTAAGTCGGTTTACGATTTAGTTATATAACATCAGTGGCGAATCCAGGCGGCGTATAGGTCACACGCCCCCACCCCACCTTTGATGGCCCCAAAAAAATAAATCTTTTGTTTACGATTTTTTTTAGCATAATTCGTCCAAAACATTGTTCGCTTCGCTATGCTCTGCGGTATGTAAGCTATTTGAATTACGCCCACTTTGAAAAAACCTGAATCCGTCCCTATATGTTGTCAATAATATATTGACCAACGTCAATGTACGATAATCATAACACAATGGAGAGATAACAGAACCGTTTATTTATACAACTATTAATAAACTAATCATTATTGCATTCCTCGATGGCCTGAGACTATTATAATACTAATTTATACTCATTATTATAGTTACAATTAGGGATAGATAGATTTGATTTTTAATGCATGATTATTGTAATCCTTTTCTCACCATAAACATTCATTTTCTATGGCGATTCTGCAAGCATATATACATTTGTTTGATTATCATGCCTTATAATGAACATTTGGCTTTAAGAAGATTTATTTTAAACGATCATAGGAAATATAACACCCCTAGGTAGATTGGTCTACTTATAAAGATAACCATCCTGTTGTACAAGAAAATCACATAGCAAATGTGCGTCCTTCAATTTTTAAGATCATGAACTCTAATTTTAAGTTTAAACACTAAAATTTACATAATTCATATAAAAAAAAACGTATAGAGAGCTTAAAACTCAATTTGCAGTTTAACCTTCATTTCTATCTATTTCGCAGTTAGAGTGTTATTTTTTTAATGCAAAGCAAAATTATAATTATTTTTGTTCCAATAAAGTAGGAATTAAGTTTTTACAGATTCAAATAAATAACAGGTTGTCCTCTGTAAGAAATTGTTTTCCAACCAGCCACCAAACTCCTTTAATTGCTGAAGTTCAATTATGTTATGCGATTTTGCATTATTTTTTTTTTTGGACAAAACCGGGTTCTGCCTTGTGAAATCTAGGACAAAACCGGGTTGTACACATTGACAAAACCGGGTGCTTCCATTTTGACATGATCCATTTCTTTCGTTCCATACGCAGAACTACAAGGATTGAGGTGCTCAAAGTGACTAGTTTTGCAATCTCCATGTCAATATCTTTCTTTCCGTACCATGTGAACAATTTAAGGAGAAATTAAACAAATTCGAGGCAAGGTTCACTCAGTTCGTCATTTTGACGTGCATTTTTACTTATTTCTCCGTTAATCTAGAACGGTTGTAGAAAATATTACATCTCACAATAGAAAACAGTTATATATGTATAAATATTCTTCGATATCATAACAATAACAAATAAATAAACAGAAAAGTACCTTTTCTCTGTCTATTGATGTTACGTCACCGTGCCGGATATTAGATACCATCGAGTCCAAACATTTTTTGCCGGGGTAGTTTAGACACAGTGTATATATGTCTACATAGTTTGGCCTTACAACATACTATACGATATGTTACGCTCTGACTTTGTCGCCCTAAGTCTATGAATAGTTTGAATAAAAACAGAAACTACCAAATATCAAACCTTATTTGCCTGGAGGACTAACAATAATAAAAGATATAATAGCTAAAGACACGTGACTAGGAATAAGCACATACATATGTGGCATGTTTACACTTTTGTTTTTAAATCTGACCTCTTTAAATCTTTGTCAGTGCATCCAATAATGTAGATATATTATGGGATTCTTTGGTTAATGCTGTTTGTAATATTTGTTTTTTTTTGTATAAATCATCCCGGTTGTTTTCTGTTTTTTTATCGTGTCACGTTTTGTCATGCAGGGGCCTTTTATAGCTTACTAAACGTTATATGTTTTGCTCATCCTCGTATTTTGGTTTCTGGTAGATAATTTTCCTAATCATGTTGAAATTTTTTGCTGAGATATTTTTATCGTCCTTTTGTGTAGATGTACAATGTTGAGTTATATTTTAGTATTAAAAAAATTGGGAAAAAAATAAAAATAATGATAACAATAATAATAATAATAGTAAAAATAATAATAATAATAATTTTGTTACATTCAGGTGCAGGGCTAGGTGTGTTCTAAAGCAGTTTGACCAAATTATCAAAGGCCAAAATGTCTCGCCGAATGTCCAACTTAGCATCATCATCTTTAACCAGAAGTGAACCAATAACTCCAAAAAGTAGGCGAATGCGTGGTTCGATTGTTGCCTCGAGGCTTGTTGCACCTTTTGGAGGTCAAGGACATACAGCAAGTAACGTTAGTGATTCGACACCTTTTTTAGAGATTACCTCCCTTGGTGAACGTTCTGATGGAATATTACACGGTAAAAAATTGGAAAACACTTTCAAAATTGGTCCCGATAAGACATTTAAGACTGCAGAAATTGAACGCGCCACAAAAGAAGTGCTCAGTGAAAACTTAAAGGATGTTGAATACAATGCTACCAAGTGCCGAGAACTTAGCCAGGACGTCGCTTCAAAAATCATGGAGAAAATTAAAATTTTAGGACTTAAACGTTACAAGGTGATTGCAGTAGTAAGTATAGGTAGTTTGAAAGAAAAACCAGGAATGCAATTCGGAAGCCGGTGTCTATGGAATAAAAACACGGACAATTTTACCAGTGTTAAATTTTCTAACAATTCAATATTTTCCGTTGCAATGGTATATGGTTTATATTTTGAATAAATATGAAAACAATGTATTTTCCTTGGTACTTAATATTATCTGTTTATACTGTGTATTTCAACGTATTTTACAGGTGTTTTCAATGGAATACATATAACACATTTGCAGATTTGTGTTTATCAGGTTTGCATCATTTTAGGAATGTTCCTTTGTGGGACGGCAAAATGAATATGGTGATGCATAAAAAGGATAATTATTGTTATTGATGTGTCAATTCACTACCTATCCGTTCATGCACTGGACACAACGCATAATAAAAATTGATTGATTGATGTTTTGTGTTTAACGCCACTCTCAGTACTATTGGCAATTACACGGCGGCTAGTTTTATTGGTGGAGTAAGCCGGAGTGCCCGGAGATTAACCTGCCACGTGCGGGGCTCGAACTCACACCCCAGTGTTGACAGGCTATAGTGATACAGTAGCTGAACCACTTCGACCACTCGGGTACCGAAAGTAAAGAAACCGAGCTTTTTTTTTTATTCTTCTTTAAACCATATTCCGGCCTTATTCACAGTCAAATTCGTTCCCTAGCAACGCGAATACATGTCACAAATAAACGAGTAATTCTTGTAAGTTAGACTTCTTCGAGTAATGATGTATGTTAAAACTAATGAATTATGTCATTTAAAGTTAACCTTGGTCATTTCCATCTTTACATATTATGGGATGGTCTTTTGTCCTAAGATGTAACTATTAAGGTCACACGCATAGTGTTGTGTACTACCTGACGGTGTCCTATTTACATTAAGTGTCGTGAAAAAATCAAAAGTCTACGCCAAAAAACTATAGACATACGAATCATAGAACGTTGGGAAGGAGGGTAAACCTCAATTAGACAACAAATTAACAAACTTAAATGATGAAAATATACAAAGCATCAGAAGTTAGTCTGCATATGATTTTCAACATTATAGTTACATATTTACGTTACGTGTATGTCTCATAAGAATTCGTACTTTTCATTGGCTGACAACAATCGTGTGGCAGTCCAACATTTTATTTCATTTTTCAATGAAATGCAACACGTCTGACTAGCTGCATGTGATTCCAATGACAATGTCATAACAACTTACAGGAACACAAACGAAAAAATTGATTTAACTCTTTATTGTATGGTTGTTAAAAAGAGGCGGAGGATACCAAGGGGGACATTCAAAACTCACAAGTCGAAAAAAATTGACAACGCCATGGCAAAAAAATGAATAACGACGAAAAGACGAATAAATAAAAATACATAGAAAACTAAAAACTTAATAACACGAACCGCACCAAAATCTGGGGGTGAACGCAGTGCTCCGAAAGGATTAACTGTTTCAACTCCGTCGTGTTGCGCGGAAGTACAAAACGGTGATAAGTCTCATAAGGTGATGTCCCAATAAAGGAAATGAGGACGGGAATGTGGTTACGATATGCGGTTATAAACTTTTATCATAAGAATTAAATTGAATGCTTCATTTTGTAATTTTATAGGGTTGTAAAAGTGTTGATCGTACGCATATTTTTAGTATTTAACAACCCAATTAAATTACAAAAAAAACATTCAATTCTTAAATGTAAATTTTCATAAAATATGTCAAGTTCTGAGCACCGTATTGAACACTTTGGTAGATATCTGTTTAATATGTAAACAAATAACACATTAGGTCGACCTTAATCACTGTTTATTGAACTTATGGTACAACATCCCGTCAGAAATATAATAAAAAGTACTCCGACAGTTGAGTCAAAATTGGCGGGAAAAAGTAGGAAGAGTTCCAATAGAATTAATAATAGAATCCTCGGGTTGACAACATTATACCAAAACGTAGAATTATTTAAAAAAAAAGTGGAAAGCTTGATTTAACTCTTACTTACCATATGTATAGCATTCAAATGAAATAATTATAATCGAATGTACTTTTTAAAGTTCAATAGGGCTGTAAAATCGTTGACCGTGCTCACAATTTTAGTAATGGGCTTTCATACCTATCAACGTTTTTACATCAACCTCAGCATAAAACAAAGAAAGAAGCATTTATAAGTGTCACGGAGATATGGTGCATTTTATGCCATTAATGTCATGATGGAGTGAAATTATGACGAAGTTCATTTATTAATTTCAATAAACATTTTTATGTTACAATGACAAGATGTCTGCATGGATTCCTTTATGTGTCGGAAATTATATTTTAATTCTTTCAAATGAACGACGTCTTTATGTCAATACCATAGACTAATTTGTAGGAACGAGTTCTTTCATTTATAGAAGTTACCTCTATTTGAACTTAACCGAAATATAATATATATATAACGGTTACCTTACATTAGCGGGACTGTACGAATACAAATTTATACTGGTATAATGATTTATGAGTATTTTTTAAACAGCGTTTATTATTATTAAGATGCATTTTCATATGCAGGATTATCCATAGGATTGTCTGATTTCACAAATGATCCCCCGTTCCGTTTGTAGAACATATATATAGCTCCGAATCCTAGTACGAAGGCAAACACGGCCATGCCTACTGCAAGGCCTACCACAGCACCTGCAAAATACAGCTTGATTAACATAAGTGTTTTGTACATTTAAAAAATACATGTTATATTCATTTAAAAAAACACATTTGGTAGAATTCAATGCAATACTGATTTCTATTGCGGCTTAGATATTTGTTTAACTCTTGTTTCTCATTACAGGTATTAAAAAGTAAAATCACAAAAATACTGAACTCCGAGGAAAATTCAATCGGAAAGTCCCTAATCACATGGCAAAATCAAATGACAAAACACATCAAACGAATGGACAACAACTGTCATATTCCTGACTTGGTACAGGCATTTTCAAATGTAGAAAATGGTGGATTGAACCTGGTTTTATAGCGCTAAACCTCTCACTTGTACGACAGTCTTATCAAATTCCGTTATATTTACAACGATGCGTGAACAAAACAGACATTATAAATAAAATAGTCAAAATATGGGTACAGCAGTCATCACCGTTGTGTTACAATATCAAAACAAACAATTATTTACAAAAAAAGCACAAAAGCATCTATCAAATTAAAAACCACATTCATTGCTTCGCGTGTCTGACGTCAGAAAATGTAAACGTCACATAAGAAAAACGACACATTGGTATCGTTCCCGTCATGGTTAGAAGACTGTTTAACTCTTGTTTCTCTCTACAGGTCTTAAAACCTGTGATTACATTTGATAGAAAACAGTTTGTGTTCATTCAAAACATGTGTACATTTTAAAGAACTATTTATTTTGTATATAAAAACTGTTTGTGTGCAGTAAAAAACGATATTTTTTGTTCATTTTTAAATTAATCTTGTGTTCCTTTTTACGATAAGACAGCAAAAAAAAAAACAGATGGTTGAGTAAACTTCAACATACATGTATGGCCATCATTGATCCTTACGTTCCTGGACTTAAAATTAACACTTACAATCAGGTGACATGTGTTTTATATTTGAAAGAGATATTTTGTTTTATCCTTAGTTCTTGCTGTTGTTTTTGGCTTCTCGTCTTCTTTTCAGACAGTCATGTGTGCTATACATATATGTTGGCATATGTGAGGGTGGAGAATAATAGGCAAAAGTGGCAGAACAAAGGGCAGAACATATTAATAGAGAAAAATAGGACAAAAAAATAAAGAATAGAGAATAATGGGATGCTAAAATATAAAGAATGAAGAATAATGAGCAAAATTTATAAAGAAAAGAGAAAAACGGCTTAAAAATTACAAAATACCGTATTCAGGGACCGTCATAAGTGTATACATTACCTCATGGCGATGTAGTGCATACAATCGGCTTAACCTTTGATTTCAATGTCAATGACATAATATTGATCTTAAAGTGATAAAAAATATGATAGTAACCGGTTTAGAACTTTTATTATCTTTTCCGGTTTAGAACTTTTATTATCTTTTTTTTTCATTTAATATTTTGAAGTACTATATTTCTTACTGATTTACACATGCATGATAGCCAACAAAACTGACGTGACACGTGATTTATTCGACTAAAACACTTTCAGATTTTAGAGAGAAATTTGGATTGCATTTATTTTACATTTACTTAATCAATAATTTAATTTTGGATGTAACACGTCTTCTGATAGGGCTGAAAGTTTTTTGTCTATCAGCTCATAGGCATAATTTTGTCAGGTGACCGTGACGTCATATAGGTTTTTTCATGATTTACTCCATAAAAATGGAATTTAGAATTAAATTATAAGGAATGACTGTAATATTTTTTTTGTCTATTCGAAATCACCTCAAAAATGTGGTGCACACTTTTAAATAACAGGCTACGCGGGTTATTCAGTGTGCACCACATCTTAGATGTTATTTCTTCATAGACAGAAAAAATGTTACAGTCATTCCTTAATTAAATCATTACAAACAAAGGTTTGCTATTTGCCGGAAAACAACGAACATATTGATTTTTGTATCTCATAACATAAAATGTACTGTGAGGGACATAAAACCAAATTTTCTAAACAGATTCATCGAACTAATCTAGAAATGTAAGAAAAATACAACTATTCTATTTTTTGGTTTTCTGGAATGATATATTGAAGTTAATTTCCAATTAAGTCATCATTCGGTGCACAAACCAAAACGAACTAACGTTATTAAAAAACCTTTCCTCGAAGTTTTTTCATGAAGGCATCATTAAATGGGCAAACCTTTCTATGGTAATTCAATAACTCTTACAAGTGAGCATGATCTCTAGTTAAGGAATAACTGTAATATTTTTTCGGTATATATGAAGAAATAACATAAAAAATGTGGTGCACACTGAATAACCCGCGTAGCGTGTTATTTAAAAGTGTGCACCACATTTCCTAAGTTATTTCGAATAGACAGAAAAAAAATATTACAGTCATTCCTTATAATTTAATTCTAAATTCCATTTTTAAGGAGTAAATCATGAGAAAACGTTGATGACTCACGGTCACATGAAAAAATTTTGTCTATGAGCTGATAGACAAGAAAGTTTCAGCCGATCAGAAGACCTGCTACATCCAAAATTGAATTATTTCATGATACGCAGTCATTTTCAAAAGCCTACTTAACCAGTTAAAACAAACTGTAATACTCTTTTTTCAGAGACAGTCAAAACGTAAAATACATTTTGACACAGTCCAAGAAGCATAACTCTGACACGGTATTTACAAATTAGAGGACATGGATGTTGTTCTTTGTCGATGGCCGTACGGTGTTTATTTACATTCTCATCTTTTTGTTTTTTGTGCATACTTGTCTCATTTACAGTCCTACCACATTCTTATCCTTTGGTTTTTGGTGCATACTTGTCTCATTTACAATCCTACCACATCTTACAACAAAGAAAACTTATTCTGACTTGTTTTTCATAAAAGCTATTGTAACATTTTTATATGTTAGGTCAAGTGTGTTATCTGATTGTATCAGGTTTACATACATCTGTATTTTCACACATAGCCATTTGATACAGTTAGAGATCATCAGAGATTATATTAATCAGGAGTTATATTTAGATTTCTTTGTTTGACTAGTGAGCCCTAATGATTTGCATATGGTGCCCTAGTAAATTTATGTAAGGAGCACGGAACACTAGGAGCCCGGATCACCGGAGCACCCGGATTACCCGGACTTCCGGAGCACGGACTACTCGGAGCCCGGTTGCCCTAGTAGTCTATATTTGTATACGGGCTCGTAGGAGTCATATAAAAGAGAGAAAGAGCGTGTGATAAAGGGGGAGAAAGAATTTATAGTGAGGAGAGGACAGTTACGTTTGTAGAGTAGAGAGGAGAACCGTATTGTTGAGCCTGAAGTTAGATGTACATTTTGTTATACTTGTATAATGTGATTTTGATAATACAGTATTGAACTTTTATTCGACTTCGTGTTTATGTTCACTTACAAGACTTCGTTCAGACTGCACCAGGATCCATTTATTTATTTATGTGACCAGGATTCCCTTAATCACGCTACCAGTAGATTTCAAGGGTAATTCTGTTAAAGAGTATACTTGGCATTTGTCGTCCGTGTACGAGTGAAATGCACGACCTGAAACTTATACACCCAACAACACAGCACAAACACACGGATACACACTTTGGTTCAAGTTGCATAACGGAAACTTTTTCGTCACACTATTATTGCACAAGAAATCTGGCAGACAAACGAACAGAGCGGCGTTTATATGTTTCACTAATTGTTTTCACCGTAATAAAAATATATATGTTATAATATATATATATATATGTAGTAACAAAGTTCTTACGTGGATCAAATTCAAAACATATGCTAACCATATAGAAATATAAGTGTCTTATCAGAAGTGCAAGAATGAGGGTCTAAATAGGGTTTATAAAATAGAAAATAATGGGCAAAAAGTGCAGAATAAAGTGTCACACTAAATAAACTTAACATTTCACAGCGGTATAACATGTTACTTTAATTATTCTTCCCTTAGTTTATTTATTTTGTATTTACATTGTATCATAGATCAAATTTATTTTTTCATTGTATGTTCACTGGTGTTAATATGTCTTCTGATTGAATTAAGTCACTTCAATTGATATTTTATAGTGTGTCTTCCTATGTTGTAATGTTACACTATTGTGTCAGATAAGGGTGAAGGTTTGGTACCATTAAAACGTTAAACCCGCTTTTTATATAGATTAGACCGTTGGTTTTCCCGTTTGAATGGTTTTACACTAGTAATTTTTGGGGCCCTTTATAGCTTGCTGTTCGATTTTAGCCAAGTCTCCGTGTTGAAGACCGTACTTTGACTTATATTGGTTTACTTTCATAAATTTTGACTTGGATGGAGAGTTGTCTCATTGGCACTCATACCACATCTTCTTATATCTAATTAAGAATAGAAAATAATGGGCAAAAAGTGCAGAATAAAAGGTCAGACTAAATAAACTTAAGAATAGAGAATAATGGGGTGTCGAAATATAAAGAATAGAGAATAATGTGCAAAATAGATAAAGAATAGAAAAACATGGTCTAAAAAAATTAACAATAAAGAAATAAAAAAAAACCCAATCCAGACTCTCAATAATGCACAGTAAAACATGGAACATATTAACCTAATGCATGCTTTACTATAACAAAACTATACAATGTTGAAACGAGAGATCAAGTGTTGGGTATACAAACGTTTTTAGTTGTTATAAGTATAGATTAAAAATTCCGCATAAAAGCCGAAAAGCTATATTATTACCTGTTGAATAAACAGTCTTTTTAGGTCCCGGTTTATAATAACCAAACTTTATTGTAGTTGGTGTGAGAGAAAATGGTCTTGCTTTTAAAGTTATTGGCTGAAATGAGAACATGCAAATGTCATTAGCTTACATCTGTTTCGTGATGTATCATAATCAATGTATCAGTTTTTAAGCGACATGCCTAAGTTAACGGAACTGCATTGTATAGGAACTAATTGCAACATAAAAATAATTGCTAAGCTTTGTCAACGGTTTAGGCTTTTATACTAAACAAAATAAAATTCGTAACTGGGAAAATGAAATAGGCATGAGAAACTGGCTCCCACGTTATAGCCAACAGTGCGGAAAGTATCGTTAAACACCAACAGTCAATATGTTTCCTTTGAATTTTCTCATTATCGTATTTGCTGTAAATTACCCCCCCCCCCCCCCTTCCCCCACCCCCCCCCCCCCCCCCGAAATAAAAAAAACAACCCACCGTGTATGTTCTGTTTGAACAGGGACCCAGTTTGCCATACAAGAACCATTTCACGAAATAAGAATTTAAGAGTCGTAGATGGGTTATGAAATCTATTAACAGATGAAACAACCATTATTTTGATGAGTGTGATGATGAATATAAATAAATTAATAAATATTATTAATATTATCAATTCATTGATCAATAACTTGTAGTAAAGTAACTGTAATTATGTTAATTGCACTTACATTAGATTTAGGATCCGCAGCCACTTTTACTACGAATTTTCCCTGATTGATAGCATTGGTAAGACTGGTCACAGCTTGACTGAGTGGTATTTGTGTTACAGGAGTTTGTACGTTCCCTGTTATGAGTGCTGTACCAAGTATCGATACCGATACTATTATGTCATTGGCGTCGTAATCGACCTGTGCATAAAAAAAACAAAAAAACAAAAAAAAATAAACATTTTAATTTACCTGGGCATAGAAATAACATTTAAGAAAAAGAAATTAAGAAACTGAATAACATAATTTATATACTATTGACTTGTATCGGATACTTGTTACGTGACAAAAAGTCTACTTGTTTTAACAGTCATTAATGTTTAACGTGAGGGTACCCAAATTGTACCTATTTTGACAGTTTTTTCACCTACGTTTATTTATGATCCAGACAAAAGTTTCCATTCTGTGTTTATTTTGTAGAAGTATCCTTACTTACTATATAGTTCCACCAATTTAATTTTGAATTCATACTGAATCATAGAAAAATGGGTTTGAACCGAACTCCAAACAATCCGTAATTCTGTTATGAGGAGTACCCGAATTGCACCCATGCTTAAATTCACATCCGTAAACTTCGAATAACTGATGTTTTATTTTATTTCTCCAAATATTTAGAACAATTTGACAATGGTCAATGCTTACTTTTATTTTTTACGAAATGGATGCTTGTAACATATTTCTATTGCTCATTTTTAAAAGTTGACTTTTTGTGGACGTCGCATGGCCGTAGATTTTACTTTTTCCAGTGGATACTTCATCTTTGATATATACTATGAATGTTTTGTGTATGTTCCAATATATATTTAGCTATGTTGAAAGACGTGCATAATGTCAAATTATAAAAATACGGATCGTTTAGTCTCTAAGAAAACTTGTAAGACTTCCGCTGCTATGATTGCTAAATAGGTGCAATTTGGGTACTCGGTGCAATTTGGGTACCGTGACGTTAAATATTAGCATTCTGTTTAAAAGCCCTTAACCTAACTGAATATGATTTGATATTTCTAAATTTTTCATATTTTTTGCAAATAAATGTAGAAAAAAAAATTGCGAAATTGAAAATCTCTTTAGGATCATTGGCGCCCACCAATTTAGTTTCATCAAAGTATTAGTTGTTAACCAACATTATTATACTTCATGTCAAAATGACAGATTTTGATTGGTTAATACGATGGTGATAATTTACTCTATCACAATTTTTTGAATGACCAATAAAAAATCGACCAATTAAGGGACAATGAATTGAATTGACGTCAATGATTTTAAAGACAATGCTCAAGTTTTACGTTTTGGCCTCAGACCTTTTTCATAGACAACATGCATCATGCTTCACTTTTGTCGTTTTTCTAATAACGGTAACATTGTTTTGTACATGACGTCATAGTAAAGTACATTGTACATATGTAAATATGAATTATTACAGAACATTCAGTATAATAAATTAAAAAACAACTCGGTTGACAATGTTTTCTCGGGGTAACAATCTGCTCTATCACCCTCTTAGATATGTGTTATTTATATAAAGAGTATGTTCCCTTCTTTTATAACATTTAATTTGCTAAGTTCTTTGAATACCATGATATCGTTTTAAAATATTTCATTTTTGCAGTTAGTACGACATAAATGCAACATGCGCCATCTATATATCTATATTTATTTATATATATATCAATCTAACACTCAACTGTTTTAAATCCAGTATAGAAATAAGAAAGGCTAGATATAAGAAGATGTGGTATGAGTGCCAATGAGACAACTCTCCATCCAAGTCAAAATTTATAAAAGCAAACCATTATAGGTCAAAGTACGTTTACTTAGAATGGAGAATCATTTCAATTATAAACATGTAGCAGCTAATAATTATTGGAATAAAAAAGTGGTTCAAACATGGTCAAATCCGACCTGCTACCTACCAAATCAGTTCTAGGTAAGAACTGTTCTAGCTAGAACTGTCTAAAAGGTGTCAATCTCCACTGTAGGGAGTTTAGTCGGCGACCTTGCGATCTGACCTCTTATTTAAAACGACTGTGACCTTTCGCACAGGTAAGTTTGGTGTTAACATAAACCCGTCAAATTTGCGTAAAAGAGATCCGATGATTTTTTTTTATTTTACCTTGCGACCTAAGGAGTACCCTGTTGGAGCCCCAAATATTATAATTATCTGTACCTGCATATTTGCAATCCTAACAGAAGATACACTAGCTACATTCTTAATGGCAAGCAACGCCGAGTATTTGAACAACTGCAAATTTGGAGCCACTACTTTTTGATAACTCCCTGAAAAAAAAAATATATTGATTGGTGTTTAACGCCACTTTCAGCACTATTGCGCTACTTCGTGGCGGTCACTTTATATTGGCGGAGGAAGCCGGAATGCCCGGAGAGAATCACCAACCATTGGTTGGAAAACGGAAAATCCTAGTCTATTAAGATTGGAATCGTACGCACACGTAAGTTTGCGTAGCCATTTTTTTTTTCTTATTTCACAAATGTCGGATGTCACAGCGATCTTTACACAAGTAGTATAGTATCTGTATCATAATCATTCCTGATATCGGTAAATTTTCGTGTGAGTAAAATGCGAACAAGGAACAATGCAAAGATTTCACTGCCCCTTCTAAGGCCCAAACCCCGAAAGAAGCGCTGCAAAAACAACCAGTTTTACGGTTTACGAAAGAACATTTATCAAATAAAGACAACAGTAGTTTATCGGTGTTCGAAAGTCATAAATCGATTGAGAGAAAACAAATCCGGGTTACAAACCAAAACCGAGGGAAACACATCAATTATAAGAGGAAAACAAATGAACAACAGGAACACCGAAGTGCAACAAAAATAAACATTGACATTGACAAGATATACTACGTATTGAATGTTTCCAAAATAAGGAGCACGATTTTGAAGAAAGGTAACATAAACGTCAGATAAAGAAGTTGAATACATTTGTAGTACTTGCATGACATTTCCCCAATTTGAACAGATTTTTTTAATTTTTATTCAACAACAATATTCAGTGAAGATCCCTGTATATTAGTACCTATAGACCAGGGTGTCTTCGGGTATTTATTTATAATTTTGTTAGTATACATATTATTATCATTAATACATTATTTCTTCACCATCTTACTGTCATAACTCTAAATAGGAACTTTATATCAAAAACAGTACCTCTTAATATAATATTGTTATCTATCTAATAGATGTTGAGAGTAAAAAAGAATAACGGGTTATAGTAGCATTTTTGAAATTTGATTTGTGAATTAGCAGAATCTTACTCACCAGGAAGTCTAAATATGAAGTCATGTATAGATCCTTACTCACCAGGAAGTCTAAATATGAAGTCATGTACAGATCCTTACTCACCAGGAAGTCTAAATATGAAGTCATGTACAGATCCTTACTCACCAGGAAGTCTAAATATGAAGTCATGTTTGTCTGTATAGTTATAACATTTGCTTGTGTCAAACTCCCAAATAGACCGCTGCTCTTCGTCATACTGGTAAATATTGTAGATATAGGTCCCAATCTGTAATGGAGGCATGCTTTTAAAAACTGTTAATAAAGAGATACAGGGGTCAATGAGACCACTACCCAACAATAACAAACAAAATACATACGGTCTTCAACAATAGACAGGTATCAAAATAATATTTTCAAGCTCTGAATTAATTTCCTTTTTAGGACAGATTATAATCACCTTATTAACGGTTATTATAGAGTTAAGTACTTATCATATTCTGATTTGGGCAGTGCTATGGGTTGGGCGTCTAGAAAATGCCATCTAGGGCCTAAAGTTCATCAAACTTACCGAAGTTTATGATTACTTGCCATTTTGTATATCTTGTTCCATGTGGAGCAGGATCTGCTTACCCTTCCGGAGCACCTGAGATCACCCCAGTTTTTGGTGGGGTCCGTGTTGCTTAGTCTTTAGTTTTCTATGTTGTGTTTTGTGTACTATTGTTTGTCTGTTTGTCTTTTCTTTTTTATCTATAGCGTTGTCAGTTTATTTGCGATTTATTAGTTTGAATGTCCCTCCGGTATCTTTCGCCCCTCTTTTGTCGTCTACACAACAAGAGAAGACAGTACTTAGTTGGAAAACTTGAGTCTCATCATTTGTTTTGGTTATAGGTTATGAACAATAGAATATATCTACACTAAACAAAATGTGATAAAACGGAGTGAGTGTTCATATAAACCGCATTAATTGTCCCCTTTTTCTTACAATTGAAATTAGCAAATATAGGTAGTTTGGCTGCATTATATTTCTATTATTATAACCAACTTACTCCATCAGCTTTCAACAACAACATCATCGGCATTCCAAAGTCATAAGTATGTCCTGTACTCTGGACCCATGTTTTCTAAAATAGAAAAAAAGTTTTAAAACAGATATAAGGACTAACTATTTGTTTTTGGTTTATTGTTTTATATATAAACCAGGCTGTACGTTTTCTCGTTTAGATTATTTTACATTTGTCATTCGGTGCCTTTTATAGCTGACTATTCAGTATGGGTTGTGCTCATAAATTGAAGGTCGTACGGTGACCTTTAATTGTAAACTTCTATGTCATTTGGTCTTTGGTAGAGAGTCGTCTCATTGGCAATCATACCTAATCTTTTTATTTTTATATTTACGATTAGATTAATAAATAATATGAATGTAAAAGTTACAAAAACATCAACAATTATAAACATGAAATTATACAAAAAACTTATAGTACATCCTTAAAGAGTTCGGTACTTATACAGCATTGGGTTTCACATGTTCGGATCGATTTAAGAGTTCCCTATGAATGTAAATCCAGGAAAGCACTCCAAACGCTTAAAACTGATATACAATTTTATTTCTATTTTTATGATTATCTTCTGTGGTTACAACAATTACCATTCTAAATGATAAACGAGAGTTAAAACCATAGCGTGTTTCAGGCTCCTATTTATTGGTCTAAGAAATTATAAGAGTAAACAATACACAGTTACTCTCTGATAGTTTCGACTTCTTACCAGTAGAATTATGATAAGGATATATTACGCAATACAACTTCGTGTAGAAAACAGAATAGTGAACAGTCCTTATTTGTTTGTTTGTTGGTTGGTTGGTGTAAACGCCATTTTTATCATTCTTTGTTATATCATAGCGGCAAGTTTTTTTTTATTGATGGAGGAAATCGGAATACCCTGAGAGAGTCACCCACCATCGACAGGAAACAGTCAGGGGCGTTACTTAAACAAGTTATTTTTTTAAGTTACTTATATAAGTAATTTTTGTTTTTAAAAATAATAAAATTACTTAATAGAGTTATTTTAAATTTCAATAGAAGCATAGACTAAATGTAGTTTTCATGAATTTTTACATCATTTTATATCATAAAATAAAGAATTTATTAGATTTGAGAGGAGTATAGAGATAAAGGGTTACTTTAAAAATAATGACAAAAATATTACTTGAATAAGTTATTTTATACATATGTAATTGATTTTGGTTACAAGTTATAAATAACTTCAAGTCTTAATTAATTCACAAGTATCTATCTATTTATATCAGTCTACCTTCAAGATTTTGGAGGAAAATGATAATTTAATAGTCCCATGAGACCAATCTTTGACCCAGAAGCGTCAGTATGAAAGATAAGTGCGTCAGAAAGTTAATTAGTGTTTCAGAAGGATTAGATTTTATATTTCATGGGAAAAATAACCAGATGACTGTGAAAATTTGTTAAAGCTACTAAAATCTGTATAATTGGACACCTATAAAAATAATATTCAGAAAAGTTACTTATATAAGTAATATTTAAAATAGCCTCGTTTTCAACATAACTTGTATAGGTAATTTTAATTGTTACTTATTTAAGTAATGCCCCTGACTGGGGAAAACTGTCATTTATTGTCAATAGATATCGAAGTCGAACGCACCTATCCACGAGCGGGATTCGAACTAGCCACCACAGGGATTCGGTTAACAGATACAAATGTTGTTAAACAATGTATTGCCATTTTTTTTCGTATTTCCTGTCTTTTTTATTACATTATTAACAATTTTTCAGTATACGGATATGGAAAGTAAACTGCACATTGCTAGAAAACTAAGAAATATTGATGCCAACGTTAAGAATGTAGTACAAATAAAGAGGAAAAACGAAAAAAAAAATTGCAAAATTTTAATCTGCTAACCGAGTCCCTGTGCTAGCCATCTCAGTGTTGAAATGCTCAGTGATCACTGTAAAAGTACTGCGTAGACAAGTCGGTCATCCGGGCCCAGCTCCCTTTTAAACTTTGTTAGTACTGATTTACAGTGTTTCAATGTCTGAAACTAGTTCTATATTTCTCGGACATATAAGTTAATATCACTCATTATTGACTTACCTTAGCAAAATACCATTCCCATGTAGACTTGTAGCCTGATGTATTTGGTGGCCAATCGGTTCTCTGTGTAATATAGACGTCACAATCTACTCCTCGAACAGATTTCTAAAACCCAAATTATATAAATACATCAAAACTTACTTTAATTGCTACATGTACATGTAATGTAAATTTTTTCATTTGTACTTTTAATATTTTACAATTGGAATTGGTCCGCTATATTTATCTTTAATATGCAATATGAGAGTTCTTAACATCTCGTATAAAAATACCATTAAAATATAAACATGATTATCGATTACATAAAAAACGTTTTTTGCCACTCCATCCTAACATATGATTTTTCTATAATTATTCGAAGTTCTATTATCAAATCCTCCATTTAACTCGATTGTGCATGGTCTCAATAGTGTATCGAGCATGATTTGATATGGGTTATATATTGTATTAACATAATTATGTAGTTTGATTGGGCAAGTGACGATTATTTATCCAGCTTGGTCGGTCATGGTTCGATATTGTGTAATGTGTCTTGATATGGCTTTATATCGTATCGATCTTGACTTGACATGGCTTGATATAATATCTTATTTGACTTCACATGGCTTGATATCGGATCGATCGTAGTCCCATCAAGTAATGTGGATATTGAATCAGAGAATGAACGCGCGATGGAAGTGTTCTACTGAAATACTAGTACTCACCACACCTTCATATGCGTACTGTGTTTTATCAAAATAGAAAAATTCAGCTGGCGTTCTGATTCTGACTTTCATATTATTTGATCCAACTACAAACTTAGCATCAAAGCCAGTTCCGTCTATAGGCTGTGCTGTACAATTACCTACTGCAGGATCGATGACGTAGGCAATTCCTGTGGAAGAAAAAAAAACAACGAACCGTCATATGATATTCTAATACAAAAACGTTTTTTATTATCTGTTAATAAAAACATATACTTTAAGTTGAAAACCATATTGGAACATCATGTAACCGGACCTTTGGTAACATAAAAAAACCATCAACAAAGGTGAAATGAAAACTTTAAATTAATGCACATGTTGAATGATTTTTTATGTTTAATACAGATATAAATTTTATCCTGAAATATCGATATTAATCATTGTTAAATCATACAAACATAACTTAAAACTTGGCATTTCACTAATGAGTAAAAATATAATAGTTTGTATTCAAAACTAGACAAGTATGTATGTCCTGAGACATAGGACCGGCACATACAACTTTTGCCGAGGGAATTAGTTTTGAGATCGTGACCCTTTCCGTAGAAATCTGGTTCAGTCGAATAACCAGATTAACATAAAAGAGCGTACAATAAGAATAGGAGAGGAAGAGCAATCAATTCAATAATTTCGGTATAAAAAATATAAGCAAAAGCAAAGCATTAAGAACCGAAACCTTCTAAAAATGCTTAACTACAGTTTTATATCGAGTCATTATGCAGTCAATTTCTGACCTTTTATTACACAGGACATCAGTGTTTTAATGTAATGCTTATAAAGGTTTATGCCCCCCCCCCCCACTCTTTTCATCATTATGTTGAACATTCGTACCTTCATTAAAGTCGTGGACCTGAGTTAGTAAACCGTAACCAAATGGACTAACGGACTGTGAGTCTGGTACGTAGTCATACCTTACTAGTCCCATTTTCTGATCATACCATTCCTAAAAAAAACAATACTTTTGTAATCTCTTGAGACTTCTTTTCCAAGAATATGTTTCACTTTTTGGAAGCTAAGTTTGTTTTATCTTTGATAAGATATGTCATAATTTTGAAATCTAATTTAGCTTTTATCTTTAAACAAGGGTGAAACATATATAGGTGGGGTATGGTTAAATTAAAGAAGTGTATACAAGCTATATAGAACAAAAAATAGGGGAGAAGAGAAGCAAAACAGTAATGCCTCATACTCCCCAGAGACACTTATACTGTTTGTTTGTCCTTTGTTTTGTTTTTTTTGGAAAAAAAATCTGTCTGAGAAAAATACGGCGTTTATTAATTCTATTCTAATAAAAAATGACTGAAAGTTTATTTAATGTTGACACGACATCTGTACATCACGAGAAAAAGTGATGATTCAATTTGGCGCTCCGTATACTTTGCCAAAGTACTCCGTTTTAGCCGAGTTTTCGAGTTTCAACCCTTGCTTGGCAGTTGCTAGATTAAAGATAAGTTGAAAATAACAAATTAAAAACCTGCAGAACTCATAAGTATCAGAAAATGTATTTCATCTTTCGATAACATTTATGAATTTTTACTATCATTTTTTTTCCTTGCTTTTTCTGTAGTTTCGAAAAGCTCTATGGGAAATAACTAATACTCCACTATTAAGTATAAACTTTGAGATGACCTTTATAAATCCGATTGTAAGAGAATCAGGCGTCAATATCTCGGATGTGAATTTAAAAGCTGTAGCAGGTGTTGGTAAAGGCTGCGTGTCTTTTCTGCCTGGACATATAACTCCCGATGGCGTCTGAAGTAAAAAAAATAGCACTGGCTTAATATGATTACAATTACTAATGCATATCAACTGAACTAATTAAAATGTTTTAGTTTCGAAACTGTACAGCAAACTGCAGTGTTCTAGTGTTCCCGAATGTGTCAGTTCATATTTAAAATTTGCTGAAAAAATCCGAAAAAAAAACGAACGACTAAATTCATTTCTTTTTTTTTTCACTCTTTTTAAAAAAAAAAAAAGAAAGCAACTTGTTATAACTGTGACGTTTAAAGAAAGCAGTTTGTTTTAACTGTGACGTTTAAAGAAAGCAGTTTGTTTTAACTGTGACGTTTAAAGAAAGCAGTTTGTTTTAACTGTGACGTTTATATGTACGGCATAAAACAACAGATGTCTCCCGTAAGTCACATTCGATGTCTTTGGATTGTTGCATGTGTATATCGAAACAGGTTAAGAAATGAAATCACACGGATTTGAGAGAAAATGAATTGAGTCGTTCTTTTTTTTTAATTTCTTCAGATTTTTTCAGCAAATTCTAAACATAAATTGAAACATCGTACTCTGTTAATTACATGTATCAATGGATCAAATATTATTCCCTTGTTCGTTTTGAATAATTGAGGTACAAAATGTACCTTGACTGGGTAATTTTAAATTATATTGAAAATACATGTACATGTATACTCTAGATAAAACGAGGTTAACCTTTAAAATATGTATAAACACTGAAATTTTATCTTTCCAGATAAAATTTAGATTACAGTTAAACCTTTCTACACCAAACCACTTATAATCTGAAGTTTAACGGTTGCTCGGTTCAGAAAGCTTGATTTTATATATAAAAATCCACTGTATGTCATCCCTGGGGTACATGTACCACAATTCAAATAACACAGGTTTCTGCAGAGTTTGGGTTAGGCAGATTTCACTGTATATTAGTACAATGTAATATCAGTGTGTTTTTTTAAACATTTCATACTAATAACTGTACAATCTATCAGTCATTAAAAATTATCATAAGTAGAAGAGGAATAAATTACTGTATACAAAATAAGAAGATGTGGTAGGATTGCCAATGAGACAACTCTCCACCAGAGACCAAAATGACATAGAAGTTAACAACTATAAGTCACCATACGGCCTTCAACAATGACCAAAACCCCATACCGCATTATAAGCTCCTAAAGGTCCCAAAATTCGAGTTCAATCCAAATGTTATTGATATTCAATACTCAATCTGTATTGCTATGATTTTGATATATATGCGATACATGCATCTAAAATATTATGTTTCAGTTCGAATAAAGAAATAGTTTCTAAAAATCCATCTGATAGAAATAATCATTTTGTTTTATCAATTATTCACCATTTGAAAACATTAACATTTACATTTACACCTTCAGAAAATGGATTTAGTGAAAAGATCTCATAAACAGTTAGAGAAAAACATGATCTTGTACAATGCCAAATTATAGGTATCGACAGAACGATGGCCGTACATGTTCATAGCTGTATACCAATGTTTTAATTTATTTAATTTAACTTAGAATCAATATTTGTACCGATAACACAATATTCAAAGATCTTATTACTGTGTCTAATTGTTAACTTTTTAGAATAAGTTTATTTAAAGCATCGATAAGTTTACATGGATCATATCTAAGTTTACCCTATACACCACTTTGCCTCATATTCTTATTAAGAAAAAAATCACACGCCTAATTAAATGGGCATTTAAAAAGTCGGAATGCGAATACATATGTTCAAACTCTTTCAGGTCATTTTTTAGTAGCAACAAACAAAAGAGCTATGTCAATTGGACATGCTTTGATACTATATCTGCCCTTGAATTTTTACTTGATAACATTTTTGTTCGCTTTGGAGATTCCGTATATCGTCAAGTTATCGGAATTCCAATGGGGACTAACTGTGCACCACTTATTGCGGACCTGTTTTTGTATTTTTATGAGTATATGCTTGCGAAGTGTGGGACAATTGTGGTATTTGCTATTCAAACAAATTAGAAAAACTTCAACTGCATGCTGCGAGGATTGTAACAGGACTGCCAATCTTTACTAAAACCGAATATTTATATTTAGAGACTGGCTGGGAACCCCTTCACAGTAGGAGGCACAGAAGAAAACTCTAATTATTTTATAATATGTACAATGATCTCGCTCCACAATATTTATGTGATTTAATTCCCCCAACTATACAAAGTACAAATATTTATCCACTGCGTAATGGCAATGACTTATTAGTCCCCTTTTGTCGACTCTCCTTAACAAATTCTGCATTTATTCCCTCTTCCATCAGAGAATGGAACAAACTTGATAATTCTATCCGTACACTTGATACCCTATCTAAGTTCAAACGCTATTTGTTGAATAATACATACGAAGCAAAGACTGTACCTAAGCATTTTATGTATGGTCCGCGGAAATTGAGTGTAATTTTAACACAGCTGCGATGTTCAGCCTCATTTCTAAATAACGACCTATTTGAATCAAATATAATACAAAGTCCATATTGTGCTTGTGGCGCTCCGCGTGAGGATTCATTTCATTTCTTCTTTAATTGCAATAAATACGCCGATATTAGGAACGATCTATTAACCAACATGCATCGTCTACAAGTGACAATAAATCTACAGTTGCTCACTGAGGGTAGCCAAACTTTAACATACGAGGAAAACTGTGAAATCTTTAAAGAAGTCTTTAGATATATAAAAAAATTAAAAAGATTCCTTGTAGTATAATCAAATAAGATATGACTGAACAAAAAACATCGTGTCCACAGAATTTCATTTATTTTTTTTTCTTTATATTTGTATTATTTCCTATTTTTTCTTTTTTTTCATTTATTTATGTTTTTTTTTTTTTTTTTTCTTTTTCTCAATTCTCTATCCTTTTCCTTGTTAATTGCGTTAGGCTTTTTTTTCTTTCTTTTTCTTCTCTGACTGTGCAAATGCCCAATTTTACTATTACCTTTTAATATATATATATACTGAACTGTGCATGCTCTGTATAATTGTTATTGTAATATTATGTAAAGGAGAAGACTTCATAAGTTGGTTAAACTTGTGTCCGATCCTTTTTGTAGCTATGAGCAAATAAAATCGTTATAAACTAAACTATTTTTATGAGTTACAATTTATGACTAAAATCATCAAAGACCCATCGAAACAACATCTGATAGAAAAATTTAACAATACTTATAGATATTTGGATGATATATTGGCTCTCAATAATGACGACTTCAGTGTGTATACTAAAGAAATTTACCCTGTTGAACTTACTTTAAATAAAGCTAAAACTAACAATGACCACTGTCCTTTCCTCGATCTTGATATCTATATCATTAACGGGAAGCTTAATACAAAAATTTATGATAAAAGAAATGATTTTTCATTTCCTATCGTTAATTATCCATTTTTATATGGTGACGTTCCCTTGTCACCTTCTTATGGTGTTTATATATCTCAACTTGTACGATTCGCTCGTGTATGTAACAACGTATTAGATTTTAGCGAGAGAAATTTATGTATTACTGAAAAATTATTACACCAGGGTTTTCGATATCATAAACTAGTCTAAACATTTACTTAATTTTATCATCGGTATAAGGACATCATTCGTAAATATAACTCAACATGCAGACATCTTATACGTTCGGGTATTTCACATCCAATCTTTTATGGTAATATTCTTTACAAAGCACAAAAATGTCAGTATTCACCTCAAAAGCTAACAAAACCTTTAAACAGACTTATTAAGAAGGGATATAGTTACGATACTGTTGTCAGGTCATTAAAGATTGCATATTTTGGCTTTAATATTGATTCACTTATAGGGTCTTTGCATCGGAATTAAACATATTTATTCTAAAACAAGTTGTTGGCATGACACGGGTTATGTTCTTCTCATATATTTTATGATGGTATAATACTAAACCCCTAACAGGAGGGATTGTGCCTGATATTCATATGATGAAGAAATTATCTTTCAATCAGTTTAATTGAGGTCTGGAGCTGGCATGTCAGTAACTGCTAGTAGTCTGTTGTTATTTATGTATTATTTTCATTTTGTTTATTTTCTTTTGTTTCCTATTCTGTCATCGGACTCGGACTTCTCTTAAAATGAGTTTTACTGTGCGAACTGTTGTACGTTTGTTTTTTCTACATTGGCTAGAGGTATAGGGGGAGGATTGAGATATAAAAAAACATGTTTAACCCCGCCGCATTTTTGCGCCTGTCCCAAGTCAGGAGCCTCTGGCCTTTGTTAGTCTTGTATCATTTTTAATTTTAGTTTCTTGTGTATAATTTGGAGTTTAGTATGACGTCCATTATCACTGAACTAGTATACATATTTGTTTAGGGGCCAGCTGAAGGACGCCTCCGGGTGCGGCAGTTTCTAGATAGATATAAGAAGAGTGTGGTATGAGTGCCAATGAGACAACTCTCCATCCAAGTCAAAATTTATAAAAGTAAACCATTATAGGTCACAGTACGGTCTTCAACACGGAGCCGTGGCTCACACCAAACAGTAAGCTATAAAGGGCCCCCAAAATTACTAGTGTAAAACCATTCAAACGGGAAAACCAACGGTCTAATCTATATAAAAAACGAGAAACGAGAAACACTTATGAACCACATCAACAAACGACAACTACTGAACATCAGATTCCTGACTTAGGACAGGTGCAAACAAATGCAGCGGGTTTAAACGTTTTAATGGTACCAAACCTTCACCCTTTTTCTTAAACAATAGCTGCATTGATGACCCATTGGTGGCCTTCGGCTGTTGTCTGCTCTATGGTCGGGTTGTTGTCTCTTTGACACATTCCCCATTTCCATTCTCAATTTTATAACGGTCAATAAAATCAGAAATGTCACTGCAGACACGTACGGGTATAACGAAGGAGTAGGGATATGTAAACACCGTATAAGATCGTGCCAAAGGAACACCAAGACACGTACGGGTATAACGAAGGAGTAGGGATATGTAAACACCGTATAAGATCGTGCCAAAGGAACACCAAGACACGTACGGGTATAACGAAGGAGTAGGGATATGTAAACACCGTATAAGATCGTGCCAAAGGAACACCAAGACACGTACGGGTATAACGAAGGAGTAGGGATATGTAAACACCGTATAAGATCGTGCCAAAGGAACACCAAGACACGTACGGGTATAACGAAGGAGTAGGGATATGTAAACACCGTATAAGATCGTGCCAAAGGAACACCAAGACACGTACGGGTATAACGAAGGAGTAGGGATATGTAAACACCGTATAAGATCGGGCCAAAGGAACATCACCGTAAAAAAGAATATTAACAATAGGGAACTAAAAATCGTCTCTTTTGTTCTAATTTTTTTGTATTGACTTTCCCGTGTGAACGCCATTTGTTAATCAGTCCATTGACGTTTGTTACTTGCACTGTACTAGTTACCAAGTAGTTTAATCTCCTGCAAAGACTTAATCGCAATTGGATTTTCTGTTGTTGCTATTCAATCTAAACGAGGATCAACAACATTTTGTATTATAATTGGTTTATGTATTTGATTACCTCAAAAGTTGTTGTAGTAAGTTGAGCCATGTCGTCAGTTAAATATTCAGAAAACTCGTATGTGTGTGTGAATTTTCTAGCTGTACGAGTACTTCCTTTAGCTTCCCAAATGTTTCCGTCAACTGTACATCTGACAGGAACTTGATGTTTACCGTCAGCCATTCCCCAATCTGGTGCTAAATAGATAAATAGACAGTTAAATCTCAAAACTAAAGAACTATAGGAGATTGCATTGTTCATACCTTAAATGAAAATAACGCCCAGTCATTGGTTGAATTTCAATTGTTCAAGTCGTTTTTAACCAATCATAATATTTTGGTGTACGCTTTAAAAAAAATTACCCATAATGCATTAGATTCTGAATGGCGAATTACTGAGGATCAATGTAATAAGCAACCAATAGGTTGATACTTCAAGTTGTCTTATTGGCAATTTACCACTTCTCCTTATCTCCTTATTAGTGACACTATAGTCCCATGCACAAGTAAACCGTTAAACACAAAAATTTCAACCAAACTTCTTTACATTTTTCGATGCACAAGTAAACCGTTAAACACAAAAATTTCAACCAAACTTCTTTACATTTTTCGATGCACAAGTAAACCGTTAAACACAAAAATTCGAACCAAGCTCCCTTACATTCTTTTGTTTCTGTAACCAATGTATATGATTGACGTTTTGATACATATTACGACAAGTGTTAAAAACAACATGTATTTATATTGTTTTATTACCGGTCCATGTGAACATAAAAAAAATTAGTAAAGATATCAACCAGTGAGATATGTTATTTGGTTACTAACTGTAATAACAGACTCTTAAATGGGGTGGGGTCAACATCAGGAGAAACGTTAAATAAAACAACGTATCAAACCTTTAGAGGAATAGATAAATATGTTAAACTCTACAAACTTGGTATGTTTTTTCCTCACCGGTTTTTTCCACCCACTACACAGGGAAATTTCACTCACATCAATTTCACGTGAATTTAAATTCATGTAAATCTCAAGTGAAATTCACGTGAATTTCACCTCAAACGAACTTATACGTGAACTTCACGTGAAATCAGTTCATGTGAGTTTCACGTGAATCTTCTGTGAAAGTCACTTGAATTTCACTTGAAAATCACAGGATTTTTTTTTCACATGAAATTCACGTGAATTTTAAAAATAACTTTTTTCAAATAACATGTAAATTTTCAAATTTAATCAGAATCATGAAAAATACCAATTTTATGTTTGTAAAGTTCACATGAAATTCATGTGAAAAATTTCACGTGAGTTTCATGCATTAGCTGGTTTGAGGTGAATCTCGCGTGAAAAAGTTCACTTGAATTTCATGTGAGATTCAAGTGAAATGCAACGTGAGCAATTTTTGCCTGTGTATAGTTAAATTTTCAAATTTGAACATACTCGACATGTCAAGCATTTCAAATTTCAAATATTTAACAATTTCCAGTAAAATAAATAAAACATAATCAACGGCATATTATTATTACAGTATAATCGATAACTATGTATCCAACAAGCTAAGCTCTTCTTGAATTTGATTTACCCAAATAAACTTGAATATACTTACCAGTAAAGTACCAATGAACATTCATTGTAGCGTCCATACTTGACCAGTACAGACAAGATTTCCAGTGATCAACTTGCATGCCTCTGATTTTTGACCGTCCCATGTACTGTTCGTTGGTACCATTTCCGAACCTCAGAGCTCCATACGCACTGAACATTCTCCCAACTTTTGGATTGGTCGCACTCGTTTTAAATCCAAACAAAAAGGTGTTAGATGATGAACTAAGGGAGTCAACTGTACAAACTCCTAATTTGATAAAGATAAAGTCCTTTTAAATATTCTGAAACATCTAGCATGATATTTTGTAAGCAGCAAGTCTTGGGGAGGGTCTGCATTTCATTTTTTCAGGCAATTTTTCTCTATTCTTTATTTGCTTTGCCCATTATTTTCTGCATGTTCTTTATATTTTAGAACCCCACTATTGTCTATAATTCCTCAAACCGCATCTAAACCCTAAAGGTTTCAGCCTTAGCCGAGTTAAATGCCTAACAAGAATTGACAATATTCGCCCCAATAACACAATGGAACCATTGCAGATTTTGACAGGTCATCATACCGGACATCAATGTATGTTTCTGTTCTTATGATGTTCTATGGCGTAAATGGTCCTGAATGCAGACAATTTCAATGGAATTCATAAGAAATTCCATTCATAAATTATCCTATTCTAGAGATACATGTATTTCGTTGGCTTCGGGGGAGGTGTTGATAAGATTAGCGTAAATTAGCAAAAGGGTGTCTTTAATTGTACTTATAATTTGGATAAAAAAATGTATTAAGCAGACCAAATATTGTACTAATGTATCAAAACAAATCTATTTACAAAAACTACGGCGTTACCCATTTCATTTGCACTTTCATTTTGAAATAGCTACTGTAACACAGTATTTTTTTGCACGATTTGTTAATCCTTTTTCTCTGGAACACAGGCCAAATCATATATAACAGGGAATGTACACATGATTTATATTTTCACATTGTACCTGTTTGAGCTTCCACTGTATACATTTCGTTTGAAGCGTAGTTGTAGATCCCATAGGCATGGAAACCTTCTTCCCATTGATGGACTGCTGCCCTCTGGTTTTGATAGTCAAAGTATTCTGTATAGTCTGTGCTATAGTTTTTATTTTGTATATTACATTCAACAGTTAGTCTGTATGTTTCGGACAGTGAGGGTTTCTTTGGTGCTGAAAAGAACAAATGTATTGATAGTACATTTATCGTGTGCTAGCTCGCTCGAAGTAACCAATGCGATTATGTTTCTTTTATTATTAGTGTCTTTTGTTTGAATGCTTGTATTTGTGTTTTTGTTATGATATTTCACATTTTTCATAATACATATTCCATTTTTTTTATCCTGTATTGACATTTTAGGCAGTCATTACACATGTACACAGTTTAATTCTTGATTTAGTAACTACGTACTTGAGGAACTTATTGCTTCAACCAAATTGCATTCCGAATCGCCTTACGCCATTTTGCTTTTTAGGAAAGTTGAGACGCATAAAAATCAGTCCTTTAACTGAATATTATAGATACTTACTTTTTGAATTTAGAATTGCACTCGGATTACACACGTTTGTGTCTAAACCATGTAATGGGACCTGAGCCTGAGCATTTATACTACATATATAGGTACACACAACTAACGAAGTTATCACAGATCTGAAACAAAAGGAAATAATAAAAAAGACCAAGTGACGACACCTCTCAACTTCTTCTCGATAAGTTATTTCTACATTTTTGTCATAATAATATATGCAACACAAAGAAAAAAAGTTGTTTATTCAATGAGTAGATTAGAAAATAAGACAGCCTTCTACATTGAGAAATTATGTCTATATTTTTGTAATAATGATATGTGCAACATACAGGAAAAAATGTTGATTCTATGGGTAGATTATGTGGGGCACCGATCATTAATATTTTGTGAGGGCATGATTTTTTTTAATATATTTGATTCTGCATGAATTTCTGGTGAAAAAAAAGAGTTTTAGAAGGGAAATGAAAAAAGTTTTGTTTCCATTGAAAATTTGGTAGGAAAATGCAACAATAAGTTTCAAAACAAATGTCTTGTTCCCGTATATTATAGTCTGTTTTTTTTTAATTAAGTCTAAACAACTGTTTGTCCCGAGAAAAAAAAACCAAGACTCCTCCCAAAAGATGAATGGTCGTGTGTATTAACCGTGGTATATTGTATCCAGGTTTGTGTTTCGCTGTGTTTGCCTTGCAATTTCAATTTCGAAAACTTCCCTTTTGTGTAGATTCGGTAAGGATCCAAATGTACTGAAAATTTGGTGAAAGGACCATTACAGGATAATTTACTTTTTTCTAGGTCTACCTTAAACAAATTTAATCTTTATCAAGCAACGTTAACTTTGATGTAAGAAATATTAAATGGTAATATTTTTTTCATTAAAACAAACATGTAAGCGTGAAGATTCATACCAGCTATATTAGTCAAAACACGGGTCTATAACTCTTCGCTACAGATTCAAATGCCGAAGTATCCCGGCGAGTAAGTCAAATCAAGATGACGATTGTTTGTTTTTAAATTGTCGAGAACAGTAAAGTGACAAGTTAGTGTATTGAAAACATTCATAATATCTCTTTTTTGGTTTTTGTTGGACCATGGAAGTATCATTATATTAACATTACTTATCGCTATTTTACGAATTTTTCCTTTGATCTTGCTGACTGATAATTTCCGTTCTCAGCGGAGTCGAGTGATATGAAAACGGAGTCGAGTGATATGAAAATTATCGCTAGAAACTAAGGGAACACGTGCCGTTGTGAAGGAAATTAACAACGTCTTCATAGGTAAAATAGCGATAAACAGATTATCATTGGTCATCTCAACTCGATTGCTTTTCTCACTTGCGCCGTACCGGCTCAAGCGAGAAAATCAATCTCGTTGAGATAACCAACGATAATCTATAATTCCATATTTTCCACAGTCGTCTAATTGCAAGCTAATTTTTGATATGACGTAATTCCAGTTGAAGTTTCAACCTTTGTCACCATGTTGGAGGTGCAGCTGGTTAATTTTCTAATTGAATAACGAAATTGACGACATGCGGTACAAGGAGGAAGTCTGGGAATAGATCCTTACTAGATCGTAGTAATGAATTATACAATTGAAGGCTTAACCAAATTTAAATAGTTTAAAAAACCTGTCGTTTTAAATTTAAAAAGTCTACCGTTCAGTAAAACACGTTGAATTTTGAAGGAATTCGTGTATGTTGATCTACCAATCGCCAGTTGAAGGAAGTTAGACTTACTCAAATCTACGTCAATCTAAACCATTTACACTAATACGCACTTGCTCCTTTCATCTGCTCAGCTATCGTGTTGTACATGTACATGAAAATGTATTGATTTATGTATTCACATCTTCCGAGTTTCACAACTTATTAAAATTCGGGGCGATTTATAGTTTTACTTATTGTATCCACATGCATCTATCAAGTCTATTATTAAAAGATGTCTTTCAGTTATTTTTATTGTTGGGTTGCCGTCTTTCATTGGCGTACACCAACACCACCTTTTATTTACATCTCTTTTTCATCAGCTTAATTATATACCAGGTCGAAAATCAGAATGTCAGCCATTCTTGTTTATCTAAATCGACAATATGCCACATAATGTAGAGGAGTAAATCTTTTTCTAAATATCAAAAAAAAAAAAAACAGAATTCACCGAGATTCTTAGTTATTACCCTTTTTACCATTGGAATGAAGGGATACAGAACTATATATTTTTGATTTACCTTATATGAGATTTGGACACCATTTTCCCTATACCACCCTGTGAGTTCCAAAGGTCCAATCATTTATCTGTATAATTAATCAGTATCAATATTAGTTCAATCCACGTACAATTTAACTATCATCAGAGGGTGTTTTATCATTGGTTCAGTGCATTTTACCTACCATTAATGATAGATATATAATTAGTGTATCTACTGAGTAGGTCTCCATTTCCACGTTTTTTCAGACATTTTTATTTGCCAATAACAATTTAGATTTAAAAGGGGGCTCGGTGGCCGAGTGGTCTAAGTAATCCAATTACTGCATCACTAGCATGTCAACACTGATATTGTGGGTGAGTCCGGCTCGTGGCAGGTGCTTTCGATTCCAATCTTAATTGACTAGGATTATCAGTTTTCCTACTGAAGGTCGGTGGTTCTAACCGGTACTCCGGCTTTAACCATTAATAAACACTGACCGCCACGAAATAGCACAATAGTGGTGAAAGTGGTGTTAAACACCAATCAATGAATCAATGAATTAAATTTTGAATGCCGATCGCCCAGTGGCAAATATTTCATCCATATCCGTGTCGAAAACATAATTAACAATAAAACAATTACTGGTAGATTCCCCAGTGGGTCGTTCGATATGAAAGTCCTATAATTGTAACTGCAACTGGTATAAGATAGTATTTGTGTTGTAATTTTGCCTTGCAATAGACTTCCAATGGATTCGTAAAAGGGTTATTGTAAGGGTTAGGAATAGTGTCACTCTTTCTAAATAGGGAATCGGACTATGTTAAATATGTAAATTGTATACATCCTGCACAGTCAATCCAAATGAAAGCCCTCCCGTTGCGGCACGATGGGGCTTCGTGGGAAATACTATTCGTTAGAGGTTATAATGACCATATTGCTATACCCCAGACACTATAGGGGTTGAAAAAGGGGATTATAAAAAAAAACTACTTCAATCCAACATTATTTTAAAATTTGACATTTCAAAATCTCACTAAAAGATACCAAAACAAATATCTTAAAGACACGACTCCAACCGAACGATTTATTTTACTATATCTGTTATACGTACACAACATCTAATAAGGCAGTGCCTCCATTTATTAATTTTTGTCACTTTAATTCTTACTGAATAAATAACTAATTAATCTAAACAAAATTTTATTTAAACAGATTGATATGAAATATACAATGATCTTTTACTATATGATTTATCTACTATTTCATCCATAAAACAACAAGATTTTCTTCTTTATCATCATCTTAAATATAAATGTCAATATTGTTTCGTTGATTAGATAAATACTTAAAAGTTATAACAACCTTCTTAAGTAGATCTGAAACTGTTCGCACAGATTACTTTGTGCTTTATTAATTATTATACACGGACAATCAATGAAAACTAAATGTTGTTTAATTTTACAAGGAACCATCATTCGATGTTGTAATGCAGGTCAAAGACTTCTCTAAAATATGTCGTCCATGATCGAAGAAAATGTATGTAAAGTTAGCGGCATGTTCGTTATTCGTTATATGATATTGAATATCACACCGGTTCGATATTCAAATTTTCATAGTCAAAAGTAATAAAGATTTACGTTGCCCTCAAACATTGTTGTGTCAAATATAAACCCGGACGTAAATCACAATTTCCTCTTTACGATATATAGATTTTTATTAATAAAATGCAACTAAAGAAGTATTTTAAAATACTCGATGTTTGAATATAAAAAAATAAAAACAAACGGAAACTTTATGGGACTACCATCTGATCTTCTAGGGGTGTGGTTGGGTCAAGATGATTTTGAAAATGAATAACTTGGCCTGGTAAGAACTGAAAATAAACGACTTTGCACAAGACAGGATCAACATAAATATTCTTCAACATAAAGTGCATAATAGTTTAGGATAAAAATGTTTACAGAATTGAAAATAAATTTTCGCGCTGCAACAGATGAAAATAAATGATAAAACAGGAAAAAAATCCCCCTCCCCCAAGCCAGAATATCAAATGGTCGTCCCCTCAGTAACATTTGAAAAATGATTCAATTTAGCTAAAATGATATAAGTAGTAAGTTGGGGAAAACTCTTGTCTTCGATGTTTAAAAATCCAATTGGAAAAAAACAATTCACTGAAATATTTTGAATAACGGACCTGCCGCTTACTTCGCATACATTCAAAGAACAGATGAAGACAAATATATATGTCAGGATCCAAAATTTGCTTACCTACATAAATAAATATTTTCGGGTCCAAAACAAATATAAGAAAAAATTCATATACGTATTAAACAATTTTTTTTTTAAATTATAAGATTAAGTTCATAGACGTCCTTAAAAGTCAGTTTTATTTTTTTACAGTCTTCTTTACAGATTGAAAAGCAAGTTAATACAAGACAAAATTATTTTTTTTTGTTTCTCATTGAAGTCCAATAATTGTATACCTGTTCTTTTATTTATTGAACCCAGTCAACGATTTGATTTGTTATTGGACCATTTCTACACAGTATTCTATTCCCAGTGTACGTGCATGAATGCCTATAAAATTACTATAAGTACATGTACGTGAGACATCACCCTGGTAATTTAAACCACACATTTTTCATTATCAATTATTCATATCAAGAGCCAACATACTCTGTTCAGTGTGATATGATAAATGTCTCTTCATGTGGGAAATAGATAACAGGCCACAATCATAAGAGAATAAACATAAGTCATACTTTTCTTACGTATCGCACATATATGGCTTACTTAGATATACGAAGACGTGGTATTAGTGCCAATGAGACAACTCTCCATCCAAGTCACAATTTGTAAAAGTAAACAATTATAGGTCAAAGTACGGCCTTCAACACGGAGCCTTGGCTCACACCGAACAGCAAGCTATAAAGGGCCCGAAAAATGACTAGCGTAAAATCATTCAAACAGGAAAACCAACGGTCTAATCTATATAAAAAACGAGAAACGAGAAACACTTATGAACCACATCAACAAACGACAACCACTGACAATCAGGTTCCTGGTCTTAGGAAACGAGTTTACTATTCTATGCTATCAGCGACGCTCGGACTTTTTGGTTAGTTACATGTATACTTGTCTTAACTATTATAAGACCGATCATAATTCATTTGTAAGAACGAAATTGGATTATCTCCCGTTTTACAGAAAACTTCATTGAAATGCATTATATAAGTATGTCTGAAGTAAGACAAGTATAACTAATCAAAAAGCCCGAGCGTCGCTGATAGCATATAATAGCAAATTCGATCCTAGCAACGCACCAAACAATACCAAAAAATGGCTTATCTGGTAAATAGTAAAATCACAAAAATACTGAACTCCGAGGAAAATTCAAAAAGGAAAGTCCACAATCAAATGGCAAAATCAAAAGTTCAAACACATCAAACGAATGGATAACAACTGTCATATTCCTGACTTGGTACAGGCATTTTCTTATGTAGAAAATAGTGGATTGAAACTGGTTTTATAGCTAGCTAAACCTCTCACTTGTATGACAGTCACAACAGACACATCAGTTTAATTGAAGTCTGGAGCTGGCATGTCAGTTAACGGCTAGTAGTCTGTTGTTATTTATGTATTATTGTCATTTTGTTTATTTTCTTTGGTTACATCTTCTGACATCAGACTCGGACTTCTCTTGAACTGAATTTTAATGTGCGTATTGTTATGCGTTTACTTTTCTACATTGGCTAGAGGTATAGGGGGAGGGTTGAGATCTCATAAACATGTTTAACCCCGCCGCATTTTTGCGCCTGTCCCAAGTCAGGAGCCTCTAGCCTTTGTTAGTCTTGTATTATTTTTAATTTTAGTTTCTTGTGTACAATTTGGAGTTTAGTATGACGTTCATTATCACTGAACTAGTATATATATTTGTTTAGGGGCCAGCTGAAGGACGCCTCCGGGTGCGGGAATTTCTCGCTGCATTGAAGACCTGTTGGTGACCTTCTGCTGTTGTCTGTTCTATGGTAGGGTTGTTGTCTCTTTGACACATTCCCCATTTCCATTCTCAATTTTACAATAGGTAAAAATGTCAAAAATAGGGATACAGCCGTCAACATTGTGTTATCATCTTAATCACTATAAAAACAAACAAATGTAACGAAAAAGCACAAAAAGGCATACATCAAATTTAACATCCTCATTTTGCTTATATTATACGATTTTATTTATCTATGTAATATCCACCCATAAAGGATGGAAGGTTTTAAGTACTGGCGTAAAATCGCGCGTTTGAAATTCGCACAGGTAGACATAAAATAACTTTGTCGTTCAAAGTATGACGGGATACATGAATACAGAGTCACGTAAAATGGATATCACAAAAAAACAGACTTAACAGTAAAAATAATATTAATAAATAAAATAATTGTGTGGTTCAAAGTATGACGGGATACATAAGTACAGAGTCACGTCAAATGTATATCACAAAAAACAGACTTAACAATAAAAGTAATATTAATAAATAAAATAATTTTGTCGTTCAAAGTATGACGGGATACATAAGCACAGAGTCACGTCAAATGGATATCTCAAAAAACAGACTTAACAGTAAAAGTAATATTAATAAAGACAAATAAAAGAATACTATAACACGTTATTAAGATGAGAAACAATGTCATAAGCAAAATCTATACTTCAAGACCATCGTGTATTATTTGTGAAGTTGAAAAGAGGGCCATTTTTTAAAATACGTTTAGTCTTTCGTCACAAATGAATATTAACGCGTTTTATCCATCACATGTACATGGTAGATATAAGAAGATGTGGTATGAGTGCCAATGAGACAAATCTCCATCCAAGTCAAAATTTATAAAAGTAAACCATTATAGGTCAAAGTACGGTCTTCAACACGGAGCCTTCGCTATCACCGAACAGCAAGCTATAAAGGGCGCCAAAATTACTAGTGTAAAACCATTCAAACGGGAAAACATATATAATATTTTAACCTCGCTTCGTGAGAATTGCATACTATAATTTGGCAAACAACTGTGCCAATTTTAACATAATATATGACATCCTAGTTACATGTATATCATAACTGACAT